GCATCTGTAGCGGCTCTGTACTCTGTAAGTGGCGGCGGGGGGAGCCACTGCACCGGTGGCCGGAGGATTCTTTTAGCGGGGGCCAGTGATGGGCCCCCTGACGGCCGCGTGCAGCGGACATTTTTAAAGGCAGCAGAGAGGCCCGGGGGGCAATTGCCACCCTGCCCCCGGCTCAGTCCGCCCCTGGTAAGCACACTATATGCACAGTTTATGAATGGACAGGAACACTCCCTCTATGGGAGTACACGACCATATGCCGCCGTATACTCACTCCAACTGCACATCCGTCCGGGTGCGGTGGTCCGTGCTCGGACGCAGACAGGATCCATCTTGTTTTAACTCGGGGACTGCCTGTATACATAACTGTTTTACATTTCATTTAAAGCTGTGCAGTGTGAATCTTCCCCTCCCCAGTCCTGTTCACCTACATCCTCAGTATTCTGTGTTGCCCGTGTACTCGGCGGGTATAATGCCCCTCAGAAGGAACCTTAGACAACTCCTCTCTTTCTTCAAACAGACACCAGAGCGGGCAGTGCTTAGGCACGCTGTGAGCTCCTTGGTACCTGAGCCCTCAAACAGCTTGAAGAAATAATCTTTATCTCCCCTCTTGGTGCATTAATTTTCTGGCTGTGTGGATTTATTCCAGTCTCTGCTAGAAGACATGATTTGAATGCAGAAAACTTCAGAGATATAAGATAAATGAGATGTACGTCACTGTCTGGGTGTAGTTTTTTTAACTACTTACAAACTTGATACGAACGTGGAACCTTTTATCTTTAAGGCTTGACATAAGAGGGATCCGGGTCATTTTCTTTAGGCGCTGCAGAGCCAGTGACGCAAGCGTATACAGAAAACTTGTTTTACTTTATGTCTGTGAAGGTTCTCATTCATCCAACTTATGGTATATCTGTAAAAAATAAATCAAGGCAACTGGACTTGCTGTATTTTTCTTGAAGACCATTTGCGGGTCATCAGACTAACTTTCTCAATTCAGAATGACTTGTACAAAAATTATCTGGGAATAAATATGGTGAATGTTGCTCCAATCAACATAATCTGTTACACATAACCAGCATGGGGTCAGAGACCTTATGGAGGTAAGGTGTTGATGTTATTTGCATAATTGGAGCTAGAAGGGGTTATTAACCCACCCAGAGAGAGGTGTTGAAACAGCATTGTATGCGGCAGACAATAGATGTCTCACCCCCCTGCCTCTAGCAATCCTCAGATAGGAGGATCTAGGACAGAAGAGACTTACACAGTCTCTTATGTCATATTAAGGCTGCCTGCATGTCAGTACTTCCACTTTAACCAGGCCTGTTAACTAAAAAAGTCAGATAATGAACATGGGAGCCAGAAAGTTAGCAATTTCTATGCTGGCAATGGCAACACCTGAATTTCTGCAATGACAGGGCCACTTTTGTGCATGGTGATTGTATCTATATATCCATGCACAGTCGTGCAGACTCATTACTGTCAGTTCTCTAGATAAACTAAAAATATTCCCTTCTATTCCTGTTGCAATTTGTAACCACAGGTGTGATTGATTAGTGAAGTCGATTTGTATTGTGACAGGTATACAAAACTGTCACACATAACAATGAACTTCCAGAGCTGCAGGTGGTTTTCCATTTGGGCGGACGTCAAACATAACGAATGAGGTGGTCTATGTTTTTCACCAGCTGCTGACAAGCCTGATGGACTCCCATCAAAACTTTTAACTTGCAGGGATTGTAATCCACATACTACATATGGTTTCTTTCATTGAACCCTGATGAAGAGGTTGTGTTTTGGACTTCCAAAATGCATTGGCTTCTCTACTTGAATGTCCCCTGACCCAAATGGAATAAAGTTCTATCTGGATCACTTAAATTGCTGTGGCGCTTTAACTCCCACATGTACTTCATTTTAACCAGTTGACATCCCATCCAGGCCATTTTTCAGTATTCAGCGCTGCGGTACTTTGACTGACATTTATTCCGATAAAGTTTGCTTTAAAAAGATGATTGGAAAGGAAAACAGGAAATCAGCCACTCTCAGTCTAGATAATCAAGATAGAGCATGGGGCTCAACTTCCTGCAAATTGCTCAGGGCTTGTTTGCACT